GGTGACAGAAAATCCCGAAAGGGTCTAGAAAAAAAGGGTCACACAGCCAGCTGGAGGGGTTCTTCCTCGCAGGCCAACAGGCGCCCTAGCATTGTTCCCTTCTGTTCTGGTCTTTCTTTGTGCCTGTTCATTTAGTCACGGGACATCCTTTCAAGTCAGATAAGGTAGCAATAGGCCTAAGGAAGTGTTGGCGACAATGCCAAGCACAGATCTTGCCACCTGCCGAAGGCCTGTGCCCGGCGAGGGGAGATGGGGATGGGGATGGGGGACTCAGCACCCTCTGTTCTAGCCAGGGGTTCACAATTACTCTTTTACTCCTTCTCTTCCCTCCTGGGATCTAAGCATTAAGGACTTTCTAAATCAGACAGCAGGAAAATAGGGTAAAAGTAAATGTTAGGACACTGAGATTGACTGTAGATGCTAATTGCATGTCATTCTTAGACATTAAAGAGTTTACAAACTAGGTGTGGTGGCACACTTTGGGAGACCGAAGCAGCATGGAAAATTTGAATCCAGCCTGGGAAATTTAACAAAATTCTGTTTCAAAACAAAAATTAATAAAGGTTTAGCCAGGTGTGGTGATGCACACCCGCAATCCCAGTACTGGGGAGGCTAACGCAGGAGAATCACTGAATTTGTGGCCAGCCTTGGTTACATGGTGAATTGAAGGCCAGCTGCATCTATCTACACAGAGAGACCCTGTCTCAAAAAAACCAAAAAAGAAAAGAATAAGAATAAAATTTTTAGAAAGAAAGAAGAAAAACTGACCCTTTTGCAAAAGGAGACAAGAGAATTAACACAGCTCGATGTAGGATTCAGTGCAGGATGGAGGAATCATTATCCTTCAGGCAACAAAAAGACATACTCCAAGTCTATACTTTGTATTTTTCACCGTAGTGTAAGTTTCCAAAGCCTATTGGAAGCAACCTTTGAGCAGATGTTCTTATAGCTTTCTGTAGTAAATGCTAAGTTGGTGTGTCATAGTTCATAGCTGATGTGATATCTAACAATGTCAGCCTTTTCCTAGTTGGGAAGTAGTATACACAGTGATGCCTCAGTTCCCAAACTTAATTCATTCCACGATTCTGGAAAAGATGGCCATGTTTGTGTTTGTGTGGGAAAGATGGTCTTGGTAGTGTTTGTCACCCAATGCAGAGTTTGCAAACAAACACAAAATTTTGCCAAACACTTCTGTTTGCAAACAAAGTGATTGGTGAACCAAGGTAGCACTGTACTAAAATAGTATGTGTTTATTTACATTTGAGAGTCCATCCCAGGCTCCACTTCCACTTCTAAGTTATATGAATGAGGTACAATTAAAACCTGTCCTTAATCTCAATGTCCTAACATTTACTTTTATTTATTTATTTATTTATTTATTTATTCATTTATTTATTTTGAGACAGGGTCTCACTATGTAGTTCAGGCTGGCCTTGTACTCACTATGTAGCCCAGACTGGCCTTGACCTCTTCAGCCTCCCAAGTGCCAGGATCATAGCCGGGTGCCACCATGCCTGGCTTTACTTATACTTATTATTCTATTTTCCTGCCTGCTGATCTAAAAAAACTCAAATACTTGGACCCTAGGATAGAGAAGGATGAAACTTGAAAATAAGTTTTCCCTCCCTTCTTCCCTCCCTCCCTCTTTCTCTCAGACAGGGTCTCACTACATAGCTATTGCTGAGGCTGGCACTGAACTTCCCATCCTCCCTCTGCAAGTGTCCAAATGCTGGGATTACATTCATGTGCCATTATGACTGTTTTGCAATAAGTACTCTTTCAGCTATTAATTCATTTAATTCAGTAGACTCAATTTGAGCATGGCTATACCCAGGCCCTGTTCTAGATGCTTCAGATACAAAGACATGATAGGGTTCTTGCCTTTTTGTGTTTTGTTGTACTTTTTTGTGTGTGTGTGCCAGGGATCAAACTCAGGACCTTGTGCTTTCAAGGCAGGTGGCAAAACCACTGAGCTAAATCCCTGGCTCTTCTTTTACTTTTTGAGACATGGTCTCACTATTCCAGGCTGGCCTTGAATTCATAGCCTATGCTGGCCATGAACTCCCAGCAATCCTCATGTCTCAGCCTTGGGAGTGCTAGGGTCACAGGCGTGCACCATCATGCCCAGATAGGGTCCTTGCCATTAGGTAGTGCAGTATAATGGAACAAGCAGACACATAACTGGGTAATTTCAAATATGAGTGCAGTAACTGCTGTACAGAATAAAGTGAGATTGCCAAAGCGAGGCACTTCACCTATCTTAGAGGGGTCAAAGAAGGGCCTAAACCGTGTTAAGGAAGATCTATAACACGGTTGGCTAGATTGGGTCAAACAGAGGGTGTTCAGACTTTTTCTATTAGATAACTTTTTAATTTGGGGATAAAACATTCAGAAACTCTAAAGTAAAAATATATATTATTTTTGGCTGATTCATGTAGAAGGAGGAAAGGGTCTAACATCATAAATGAGATCAAGGTTGTAAGAACACAGCTAGAGGTTGTAGGGTATATATTCAAATTGTCTTTCCTTTTTATGTATTTCCCCACATATAACATAGAAAAGCAAATATAAAAACTGAAATCCCTGTAAGTGGAGGTTTGTAAACTCTTCTCACCTTTATAAATAAATAAAGGAAAAAAATATATATATATATATAAATAAAGGTACCATCATCACCAAATTACAGGAAGATTAGTGCTGAGGTTAAGATTAAAGAACAAAAGCTTAACTAGATTTGCAACCACTTGCCCTCATATAAAATTACAATATGAAGAAAAAGTCAAAGTTTTCTACACTTGAGGTTTCCTAAAATACGGGATGGTAGGGGTCTCCATAATTTTAAACCTCTAAAAAAAATTCATGGCTGGGGGTGTATACCTCAGTGGTAGAACTCTGGCTTAGCATGCACAGGGCCCTAAGCTCAATTCTCAGAATTGCAAAACATTTTTTAAAATAAAATAAAAATTTAAGAAAATTCAATCTTAACAATCCTGTGTGATTGCTTCAATTGCTGAGATAAAAAAGAAGTTTTAAATTTGCCCAAGATCATACATCTAGTAAGCAGAAGATCTGGGATTTGATCCAATGGCTGCTTAATTCCGGCCCTCACCCTGTCCAAATAGAAACCTTGTGCAGGCCCATTCCCTGGCTCAACCCCCCTGTTGTTCTAGGGCAGTTAACTTATTCTGGCAGGAGTGAGCTGGAATAGACAACTGGTAGAACGAGGGGCTGGACCCATGTAAATATAGTACTGGGAAATACTGACAGTGCCACGCTTAAATGGAAACCATTTGATTTCGATATCATGGAGGCTGCTGAAAGTATCTTAATCATCCTCATAAATATTTTATAATATAAGGGATTAAGAAGGTAAAACAGGGTTGAGTTAAATATATAAATTTAACTAAAGTATGAAATTTGATTAATAGAGGGAAGTAGAAAAGAGTAAATATATGAAAATAACAGTGCTGTGCATGACATCAGTTTATAGTTTTATATATTCTTTAATACTATTGTATTTTTCATTTGCATGTGGGCTGCATTTGCTAAGACTGTAATCCCAATAGTGTATTTAAAGGGAGGAATAAACAAATAGTTTAATATATTTGAGCAAATAATTAGGTTATGGATGATTAGAAATGATGTGAAAATCAAACTAACACAATGTAGGTGATTTAAATTTGATCTATTACATTTGGAGATATTGGTTGAAGTTTATAAAATGCCATTAGAGAGTGAAGAAAGGGGAAGGAAGTCTATTATAACTGAATAGGGGTGTGGTTTCTCCATGCTAAAAAGAACAGATAGGAATTTTATAAAGGGCTGATGTAAGTGGTTAGTTTCCCTAACAGGCCATTACAGCTAGCTAGCATGTTTTCTCTACAGAAGTCAGTATGTCTATTTATATCAGTTACTTGGTGTTAAAGAAACCACTGCCTGTGGACTGGGTATATGCATTCTCTGCCTGCATCTAATCCTTGGGTTAACAATATATCTAAACTCCTGTAATCCTAGAGCAATTATACGGATGCACTAAGTGGTGTGATCGGAGGGAAAGATAGCATCACAAGGATTCGTTTGATTATAACAGTAATGCACACCAAGTCAAATAAAATAGTCAAACAGTTAAAAATAGGGTCTCTAATGAATTTGCTAATTCTAGCAGGTCCCCACAAATATTTCCTGACAGAGGACCCTATATCAAAACCAAGTGGCTGTGCTTTAATTACATGGAATAATTATTTGATTTTTCAGGAAGTTAAAACAGTGCTTTGTATTTAAATAAAAAGTTCTAGACATGCTTTGAAACTCGATCAAACCAAGAAAAAGGGCGAAATCAAATGCCTGCTCAATGATTCAGGAATTCGGCTGCTCAACAAGCCTGAAGCGATGGCTCATGACCCCAGAAAAGGGGTATTTTAACCCTGGCTGGCTGGATCCTATGGCTTTCTTAGAGAAGCCCTGCCTTTCCAGAGACCTAAAGTGAAATGCAGCCATAGGCCGGTGAGGGGCTCGAGACTCGGCAGCCTTCGCCCCTCTGCACTAGCAGAGACCCCAGTTTTCGGGGGACAGGGTCTCATATTGTGGCCCGCAATTCTGAAGGTCTATTAAAAGCCTGGGGCCTCTAATCTCAACGGCTTTGGGCATGAGTATGGGGTAGGAAGGGGGGGTAGGCCTGTGAGTGTCCCTTTTGCCTGAGGAGTTGGAGACACTTGTGGAAAAGTCAGGCCCTTTTCGCTCCGGCGGCCGCTCCGGTATGGGGCTGGCTTGGGTTAGACACATGCACATATACACCATAGAGCTCTGCTTTCCCGTAGCAGCTGCTGCCTCTGCCTCTGCCTCTCCCGCCTCAGCCTCTTTGCCCGGCATACACACACATTCAGATTTGCGCGCTGTTTCAATCCTTGATGACGTGTCCCCGGAGACAGCCAATAGCAAGCGGGCTCTGGTCAGGACAATGGGAGGTATCGGGCCAATGAGCGAGCCCCGTGAGTTGGCGGTAGCCAATAGGAGCCGCGCTGGCTGGAGAGTAATGTTACAGAGCGGAGAGAGTGAGGAGGCTGCGTCTGGCTCCCGCTCTCACAGCCATTGCAGTACATTGAGCTCCATAGAGACAGCGCCGGGGCAAGTGAGAGCCGGACGGGCACTGGGCGACTCTGTGCCTCGCTGAGGGTGAGTCTGGGGCAACGCCGCGGCGGGGAGAACGCCTCCGGCAGCTCCCCAGCCCGCGCGGCAGCCGAATCCCCGCGGCCGGGAGTCGGCGGGTCAGGATCCACACAAAGGCAAATGAGGGGGGACCGTGGGGGGAACTGCGCACGGAGCGAGCGTCTGCCGGGGTGCCAGGAACGCTGCCCCGCGCCAAGCCCCGGCCCACAGGCTGCCTGAGGCGCCGCAAGCCCCCGCGCCCCGCGAGTTTCCACCCCCGGCGCTGACTGGCGCAAAAAAATTTTTTTTTAATTAAAAAAATTTTGAACGTGTTTTCGGCCCCTGGGCCGAGCGTTCGGGCGGGCGGCGTGTGCGGAGCGCGGCCGGGGCGAAGGGGCGGCGGGCAGCGGGCAGCGGCGGCGCTTCCCCGGCTGCATGGGCCGCCGCCGCAGCGAGCTGGGCGCTGGTGGGGAGCGCGGCCGGGCGGCCGGGCGGGCGGCCGGGCGGGCGGGCGGGCGGCCGGGCGGCGGGGGGAGCGGCGCCGCTGCGCTCGCTGGAACATGGCTGACTCGGGCCCGGTGCTGCTGGCTGGAGAGAAAACAAGGCGGGCGGCGGGCGGCGGGCGGGGGAGCTGGGCGCAGCAGTTCCGAGGCAACTTTTTTTTTCCTCTCTCTTTTCACAGCCCCGCGTCCTCCGTGCGGGGGCGGCGGGGCGCGGGCCGCGCGGAGGGAGACGGGGAGCGGTGGCGGCCGCCGGGGGGAGGGGAGGAGGGAGCCGGCGCGCGCCCCCGCCCCTCCCCCGGCCGTCATGGCGAGTGTGTGCGCCAGAGCGCGGCGCCCCGCCCGCACACTCACACGCTCACACACACGCGCGCACACACACACACATACACACACACACAAAGGGAAGGAGCCATGTTCGCGCTCGCTCTCGCGCTCGCCCTCGCGGCGGCGGCGGCGGCGGCGCAGGCGGGGAAGACGCGCAGCGGCCATTCCGTGCGCCGGCCCGGTGGCCGCGGGCGGAGCCAGCCCCCATTTCGAGCGGGGCTTCTCCCTGCGCAGCGCCTGACAAAATGGGGGCGGCGGCGCGGGCCGGGGCCTTCCGGGCGCACGTGGCGGCCTCGGGCCTGTGGGCCGCGCCGCGGCTCCCTCAGCGGGCCGCGCTGTGGGGGCGGACAGCGGCCCCGGCGCCCGAGGCGCCCCAACTTTCCCAGGTCCCGAAAATCCTCCTCCGCGGGGGGAAGGGAGCCGCCGTGCGGCCAGCAGGAGTGGCTTTTGTCCCTCATCCTTGTTTACTCGGAGAAACTTCAGACCGGACGTGTTTAGTCAGAACTGAAACAGAGCTCAGGGCCAGAGCGATAGGAAGCGAGGCTGCCCTGCCCCGCCGCGCGCCGCCTCCCCCGGCCTGGCTTCCGAGCCCGAGCGGGCGGTGCCTCCCCTGGAGCAAAGTTTTACGCAGAGACGATTTTTTTTAAAGTAATTAGGGAAACTTTAGATATACGGTGTTTTTTTGGTTTTTTGGCCTATAATTCAGAAGGTCTACTTAGGCTCTTTACTCCTTGTCTAGTGCAAATCCACGCCTGAAGTATTTTGTTTTTGAGCCTTTGGCTTTGTTTAAAAAGGTGGTGTAAATCTTAAGAATTGTTTAAATGACCGGTTGGGTATTTAGAACAGACATGGCAGATGCCTAACGAATATTTCTGAGAACACCATGTCTACACTTTTGGAGAGCCCGTTGAGGGACACCCTCCCCCTCTTTCTTTTTTTTTGCTTGGTGTAGCCAGTTCTGGGAATTGTGTATTTTGCCACGTTCTTGTCTAGTTTTATGAGAAGTTAATGTCACTGCTGTGCTAATAACCGAGTACCTTGGTTTTTGTTCACTCCTTAAGCAGTTTAAGCTCTTACATGCTGTACTTTTATTGGTAACATCACTTTTTCTTTTTTTAAGAAAACAAGTAAACATGGGCAAAGGAGATCCTAAGAAGCCGAGAGGCAAAATGTCATCATATGCATTCTTTGTGCAAACTTGCCGAGAGGAGCACAAGAAGAAGCACCCAGATGCTTCCGTTAATTTCTCAGAGTTTTCTAAGAAGTGCTCAGAGAGGTGGAAGGTAAGAGGGCTTAAGACATGCTAACAAGGTAATAACTAGCTAATAATTTCCAAATTAGGATGGAAAAGAAGCCTGCCTGTCCATTGTCCTAATGTGAGACTATTAAATGGTAAAGGATACTTCTTACTCATTTTAATGCTTTGGGATAATTAAACTTCTTACATCAATGAAGCTTATAAAATTCTCTCCTAGACCATGTCTGCTAAAGAGAAAGGAAAATTTGAAGACATGGCAAAGGCGGACAAGGCCCGTTATGAAAGAGAAATGAAAACCTATATTCCTCCTAAAGGAGAAACAAAAAAGAAGTTCAAGGATCCCAATGCACCCAAGAGGCCTCCGTAAGTACCTTTTTTTTATTTTCAGGACAAGTTTTAGAGTACAATTACAAATTTAGGAAGTCATCCTGTGAGTTTTAGAGTGTCCAAAATTTCTGAACCTAATAGTGGCTCACATTGGTATATCTAAATATTGTAAATAAAATTCCTTTTGAATACATGTGTTAGAGTATTTGAATTAATCACTTTGCCTCCTTGCCCAATATACAGTATCTCCTAAAGTAATTTTCACTCATTTCTTCAGACCTATTCTCTAAAATACTTCACAGAATATTCTTCTGGATCTCTGACTAGTGTAAGTTATTATAATTAAGCTTTGGTTGAATATTTGCACCCTGTTCAACACATGGTAGAAATTAACAGGCAGCTTATGAGTTATTAGTACTGGTTTTTTTGATCTGTTAACAATCTTAAATGAATTTCTCTTCAGTTCGGCCTTCTTCTTGTTCTGTTCTGAGTATCGCCCAAAAATCAAAGGAGAACATCCTGGCCTTTCCATTGGTGATGTTGCAAAGAAACTGGGAGAAATGTGGAATAATACTGCAGCAGATGACAAGCAGCCTTATGAGAAGAAGGCTGCCAAGCTGAAGGAAAAGTATGAAAAGGTAAGAAGTGTGTGGGTTTGCTTCAAGGTTTCTGAGTTTGAAATATAATAGTTTGTAGTATTAGCAGCTGTACCATCTTAAATCCTTTTTCATCTTTCAAAGAATTTTGAGCACCACATAAAATGTTAGTATTTTTAATATAATTTGACTTGGGCTAAGGCCATACATTTAAGCAGATTTTGTTATTCCCCAGTATTTCCAATTTCGTAAAAATGTGGTAGTTACTTTGACATAGAAATAGTTTATTTTAAAATGGTCAGGTATACAATAAGAAAAATTAGCTGAGCTAAGTACTACAATACTTAACTATGCCCTGAAACGTTTAGATTCCTTTAAACACCCCCAGAATCTCTAGCATCACTTAAGTTCATAAGATGCAGGAAAGCTGTAAGTCTTGTAATTTAAATTGAAATATTAAACACTTGAGTTTTAACTGCTTTAGTCATTCTGATAAATATCCATTGTTAAATGTTTCTTCACCTTATTGCATGTTTATTGGCAAATTACCTGTTTTTTAGGACAGTTTTGTACTGTGGATCAAGGTCTGACTGTAAACCTGTGGAATTTTTTTTGCATTCAGAAGGTGGCAGTGTCTACCCTTTAATCAAAGTTTCTGTGTTCTAGTTTAATAAAGTAGAGTTAGCATGTGATATTTAATTGTACCTCAGTGAGGCACATAACATTGGAAATACTAGACCATGGCATTTCATGAGTTAGAGATTGCTCCTTGTAATTACTGTTTTTATGTCCCTTTTTCCAAGTTCTAGTTGTGAAGGTGAGTTTCACCATGTTGGTTCTATTTCTTCCGTTACTTAACTTTTCCTACTGTTTCTTCTCCCCCTTTGGAAGGACATCGCTGCCTACCGAGCTAAAGGAAAACCTGATGCTGCAAAAAAGGGAGTTGTGAAGGCTGAAAAAAGCAAGAAAAAGAAGGAAGAGGAAGAAGATGAGGAAGATGAAGAGGATGAAGAGGAGGAAGAAGACGAAGAGGATGAAGATGAAGAAGAAGATGATGATGATGAATAAGTTGGTTCTAGCGCAGTTTTTTTTTTTCTTGTCTATAAAGCATTTAACCCCCCTGTACACAACTCACTCCTTTTAAAGAAAAAAATTGAAATGTAAGGCTGTGTAAGATTTGTTTTTAAACTGTACAGTGTCTTTTTTTGTATAGTTAACACACTACCGAATGTGTCTTTCGATAGCCCTGTCCTGGTGGTATTTCAATAGCCA